TATCTTGTTACTTGAACTTGTATCATCTTATGTTGAGTTCGTGTGTTTCTGTAGTGACGGAATCCTATGACTGCACTTTATTATGTGTTCGTTTTGCTGGATTTCGCTTAGAGTTGCACGGGGACTGTCTGTGTTAGCCGTCCCTAATTTTGAAGATGGAGGCTAGAGGGAAGGCATCTAGTCAACACCACCCAGTGCCAGCTCTTGAGCTACTCTTGTCAGAACGAATAGTGGGATTTTACATTCACTTTTATAACGTACCCATGGTCCCAATGGAGGCTAGAGGGAAGGCATCTAGTCAACACCACCCAGTGCCAGCTCTTGAGCTACTCTTGTCAGAACGAATAGTGGGATTTTACATTCACTTTTATAACGTACCCACGGTCCCAAAATGCAGAGCAGGATTTTTATTTTTGTGGTGATGGGACGCGAACCAGGAAATCTTAACTTCATATTCTGGCACGCTAATCGATGAAGTTTAGCTCAAGAAGTGTGTAGTATTCCTAATCAGACTTTACCATTCCTCATAGATTTAAATATTGAAAAGTCAAAACTATTTAGACTACAGTGCTGGATTTCTTGTTTAGTTCGGGTGCTAAGTTATTTATGGCTAATGTTTCTTTTAATCTTAGCCACTGCTCATTTTCAGCCTTACCGATAATATGGAACTGTTTAATTTCTACATTTACAATCACGCATTTTCTTTATGTTAAAAGTGTGATAAGAGAGAAAAAAATTCACATGTCTGAAATTACCTTGTGTTACACATTTAAATATTTAGACTACTATAAAATACCCATGCTCCGCTGTCGAGATTAAAGGCACTCTCGTAATCCACAGAGACTCTAATGTACTAGTCAAGTTATTACATTATCCCTAATTACTTCTATAACTACTCCAAGGAGAGCAATCTATACCTCCCAAAATCATTAGAACATCCACCCGATCGTGGTACCTGAGCACGAGTGCCAAGTTTGGTCCCACTAGCTTCTGAGAGGGAGTATGAACACAGTTTCAAACGTGGCTCCCCAGGATCTCAAGGGGGACCAGGAACACACGAGCAGATGCCAGATTCGAGTTCAGCGACTCTGATAACCCAATTTAAACCACTATCATGCCTAAATGATCTTACGAAAGCGTTTTAGTCACCTTTGGTACCTTATTGGTAAAGGGGCGCTACATCATTTCGTAAGGACTACTTCCAGGGGCATCTCGAAACCACCTGTCAAGTTTGGTTATGCTAACTCCAGAAGAGGAGTTAGCTGGACATATATAACACCTACAAAGCTACAAGTTGAGTTAATATAGGATTTGGTTTGAATAATCCAAAATAATTTGCATACTACCACTGAGGTATTTCATATATGCAGGTAATAGCCATCTATGATAGGTCTCTGTTTATTCATTGGTTCATCAGAGTGCAGTGTCCAACATGTTAGCCTCTGTAGGTAACTTCCTCGGTTTTGAAAATCACAATAATAAAACAAAAATATTAGTTTGATAAGCTGGTCTTGTATCAAAGAGTTAGGATTAATCTTCATCGTTTGTAGCTTGGTCGAAGTATTTTTAGAGAGTTCTTTACACTGAGTGTTATAACGGTTAAAAACATAAGATTTCTCAATGTGATGCAATATTAGACCCCATTGGCAGCAAACGGTAAATAAACAAATTGGTTATTTGAGGATTTAAACCTATTTATCATGTGCAAAATATAGCAAATTCTGGTGTGTTTGATCTTTTGAAAGTATCGGGGATAAGGATTAAATCACTTGTTTTCTATGTAAGATACATAGGCAACATCTTAACATCTTGTGTGAGGTTCATGTGTTATTAGGACCTTGTAACCAACAAAGTCATGACCTCATAAGCAGTTTGGTTCATAAACAGTTAGAAAAATATGTTCATAAGCTCGGAATCCCATCGATAATTCTAGAGTTAACAAAATGGAATTGTATTAGCTTAAATTAAACTTTACAGAACGAGAATATTTTGAAATATCTTTGAAAGAGTAGATAATATTTATTTAATTATGTAATATATTTAATTGTAGTTCCAGTTAAAACTTTAAAGTCAAACTGGAGCAATACTGTCTTCATAAGGCCACATTCCATTATTGTATTGATATATTCATTGTATAATTCTACAATTTATATGTGTTTATATAAATGTGTGTGTTTGTGTATAAATGCATAACCGTTTTTGTATTTCTAAACTAGTATATTTGTCTTCATTTTTCTTAGCTTTCGTGACAAAATCTCATTTGAGATGTCAGTTCTTTAGCCTGGCTTCTTTCAGGCTGTAAATGGTAGCATAACACTAACACTTTTAGTTGTCAGCCAGATATAAATTACGGCAGCACTTTAGTAGAATTCTTTATATGAAACACAGGTAATAGGCAGAAGGACTTCAAAATAACGTAATAGTTAAGTACGTCAACATAGTGAAGAAACAGGACGTGAACTTAACCTATCAACTTTCAATATCCTTCGCAAAGGCAACACTATCTGGAATTACTGATTAAAGAAACTCTCCACAACAGACAACTTTCCCCGAAATACAATTGCACATTCTTTAATATGTACAGTATATTTGTAGTTACTCCTCTGCTTTCTACGTGTTTCGGTTTTGATTAAATTATCGTTAATGTAGCAATGTATTTTAGTTATTCACTTAGGAAGAATGTAATTGTTTATGTTTTTTAAGATGGAATCTGTAGAATTCCGAAACATTAATCTGTGTCCGTTTCTGTTATAAATAAACAATGTTGTTCATCGTAAGTATCGTTATCCTTTTTATTGTGAAACTTCGTTTTCCTTCGAACACATCGATTGCTAACAACACTTACGTTAACATCGAGACGGATCGATACCATACACGTGGTCATATTTTGGTTGAGTTGATCATCAAATTAATATTTAATGGTATCACACATACCCCTCATGTTACTTCCATCAAAGTAGCATATCAATGGCAAACGTGTAGGTCTCAAGTGGCCCAACTGTAAAACTAGAGGGACTATAACGTTAAAAATCGGGATTCAGGAAGGACCCGAAGTGAGACTTTTCACTTAAACACAAACACAAATTATACAAGAAGTCTCGTGGACATAGCAACTGCTATGTTTAACGCTAATGTTATATTGTATCCAAATATTCCATTCTGTTAGGAAACTAAGGTAATAAAGCGATATTTAGCAACCATGATCCATATAATTAATTCATTTCGAATTCTGCTTTTCCACGAAAACTACATACATCAACCATTTCATCTGTTTGACTTACGTACATCAACCATTTCACCTGTTTCACTTACGTACAACAACCATTTCACCTGTTTGACTTACGTACATCAACCATTTCACCTGTTTGACTTACGTACATCAAACATTTCATCTGCGATACTTACGTACATCTGTGCGACGATATTCTCTTTGCAAACTGTAGAAATTGCATGTTGCCTAAGGCCCGAAGTAACTGTGTAACGATATCCTCTTTGCAAAATGTAGAAATTGCATGTTGCCTAAGGCCCGAAGTAACTGTGCGACGATATTCTCTTTGCAAAATGTAGAAATTGCATGTTGCCTAAGGCCTGAAGTAACTGTGTAACGATATCCTCTTTGTAAAATGTAGAAATGAACATATGCGATAACGACACGCGACGGACTTGAAAGTATTTCTAAATCACTGATGTGTATGCGTAAGTATCGCAGATAAAATGTTTAATGTACGTAAGTCAAACAGGTGAAATGGTCGATGTACGTAAGTCAAACAGGTGAAATGGTTGCATGTTGCCTAAGGCCCGAAGTAACAATTTCTGCATTTCTATGTTTTACTTTATGTCATGTATTGAACAGAAGTTATATATTATTTTTAAACATCCTCAAAGCACCCCTTTCATAAGATTTTATTCTGTGTGATTCTTCGAAACAAAAAAGTGAACCCACTGTATAACTAAATAAAACGTGTACTTGACCAACTCTTTGGCAAACATTTAGTCCTAAATATTTGCAAAACAAATTGAAGTTGCTGTTATTTGCAACTGATAGGTTGCTAAACTGTTTTCATTTTATCTGTTGGCTATAACAACTTTCAAATATTATAAGTTACATTGTAATTTTTATTCTATTTCTATGAATTGTATTTCTTATAGCTTATTACAGTCTATTTGATAATAAGAATATATACATATTGCTTTTCTAGTGTACATGAAGTTTCGTTCTTTTGCAACTCTACTACAATTTAACTATTATTTACAAGTACGTGTTTTGTGTTAGACATTAAAGGGATATCTTGTGTGTTTTGTGTTAGACATTAAAGGGATATCTTGTGTGTTTTGTGTTAGACATTAAAGGGATATCTTGTGTGTTTTGTGTTAGACATTAAAGGGATATCTTGTGTGTCTTGAGGGAGAAATTTTGAGGAGTGTTCGTTTGTTTTGTGTTAGACATTAAAGGGATATCTTATGTGTTTTGTGGGATACATTTAGGAGAGTTTTCGTGTGTTTTGCGGGATACATTTAGGAGAGATTTCGCGTGTTTTGCGGGAGACATTCAGAACAGGTTCCACGTTCTCAGAAACAGGAGTTCTAACAAATCGTCTTCTACATTTCGTACTTGTTGTGTCTACATTCGTTCGACAACTAATACGTCCAAATTTGAAACTCTAAAATCGAATGAAATATATAAACAAAATAGTTATTTTCGATCGACTGTGAAGTGTTATAAGTAGAACTGAAGCTGAATACCACACCACATCTTTTTGCTCGAAGATATATTTTTTTTAATTATGTGAATACTTACATCTAAGGACAACGGCTAATCTCCCTCTGTTGTTGACTTCGAAAGCCCAAGAAATGTTCAGACCATCGCCTTTGGCCTCAGGAAAATAGTCCAATAAATTGAATGGTGGCATTACCTGCAAGCGACAAAAAAAATTTCCTAGCAATATGTATATAATGTTTTTAATATATATAATGAACTATTTTTTAAAATAATCTTTGAAGAAAACTAACATCAAGAATCTTACAAACTGTGAAGTTATTTCTTATTTTAAATTCTACGAATTTTTGTCGCTAACCAGTTGTAGTGCTTATTTCATTTAACCTTCTTGGTTTCTACTGGAACGCCCAGAAGTTTAAGATAGGGCGAGGGTCTCTAAACATCTAGAAATTCTAATAATGAAAAAGTATTTCGGTTACTTAAAAATTACGTCTTGTATCCTTTTACACTATTCTTTCAGTCCAGTGAATCTCAAAAAAAAAAAGGGAAAAAGAAATAAGAAACCATATGTGATGTCTGAACACAAAACTTTGCATTTTATTTACACTTCAAATTATTAAAAACGGTTTCGCGTGGCTAAGTATTGACCATAAGCGTACACCCAAATGATCCTAACAGCGTGTCTTTCAAGGAACGCTACGTTAGTGAAAAAGCCACTGTAAATGGAACAAAATTTAGAAGTTTTGATATTAGAGAAATTTATTTCGACACAATCGTGCGTCCTCTTCAGTGTCACGTTGTCTTTCTGAAGAATGTGTCGAACTAGTTTCTCTGATATCAAGACTTCTAACAGTTTGTTCCATTTACTGCGGCTTTTCACTAACTGCTACACACGATATTGTGTTCTTTTATTACAAAGCTGGGTTAGATTACTTTTTAGGAGCCACTGTGATATCAAAACGAATTAAACATATACCAAAACTAGGAAAATCCAGAATACAGAGTTTGATTACATTATATTAAAAAAACGATTTTGGAGCCTCACCACGTCGTTCAAGCTCACGTTGCCGCGTCCGGTCGTGCTGTATCTGACGGCCGTGTATCTTTGCAATAGCCCCGCATCGTAGTTTCCATACGAGGGAACAAAGAGAATGCCGTGAGGCTTTATTATTGAAAGCAAGCAGCCTCTTTGAAAGTGTTTTGGGTCAGTTCTAGTGTCAGAAAATGTACGCTGCCACCTTCTCATACATGTCTGATAGTAATCACCAAGGAAAAGAACTGTCAACTATAAATGTAGCACAAATAATGCAATAATCCAGAAACTATAACTTTGTGAAGACGTGTCCCGCCACTTTCAAATACTTTGTGCAATGGGTTTTCTTCTAAAGCACACACACACACACACACAATCAAATTTCTTTGTTAAGTGGTAAAAAAATTGATCTTTTTTTAATAGCAGAAGCTCAATAAGTGAGATGGGGGATCTTAGCGTTAGAGATACTTCATAATTATTTCTTATACGTTTACAGTTTCCTTTATGAGTTGTAATTCGGTAGCAACTTATATGCCATTTGTTCCTGATGAGATCACTGTCTTTGTGTTTTTATTTTCAACTCTTCCTACTATTTCTGTAAAAAAAATCTATCGCCATACTTCGCCTTATTTATAACACACTTCAATATATTTTCATAGAAAAATGGGAATATGTTTTAGTTCTTCTGTTGTAGAGGTCTGGCAAATTACACAAAATTCTACAGAATATGACAATCATCATTAATCGTATTGTCTTCAGCTTGAGCAACGATAGAATCTTTGATATTTTTGTAGTCACTCGATCGGGTGGTTTATTGACCCGTACGACTTTGTGAAAATTAATATCAGTAATTTTGTTCTTGATACATTCTTTCAGTTGTTTTTTAACGATCCCTGCTCTGGCCACGCCGTTTGCCTCTTGTATGTACTTTAGATATTTGTGTGCTTGTTATTAAGCACGAAGCTACACAATGAACTATCTGTGTTCTGCCACCGCGAATATCGAAACCTGATTTTTAGCGCTATAAGCTCTTAGACGTACCGCTGAGCCACCGAGGGCAGGAGGGATTCGGGTATATTTAATTTTTGCCCTTGCCTGAGCCTTTCCTAGAGAACACTAATGACCTCAAATACCAGACACTTCTGGAGCTTGTTTTTTTTTTGTCTTTAGGCATATCAAGAACGTCTGTGAAATTCACAGCCCAAAATGTTTTTTGATATTGTATTTCTGCAGCATGAGCATCTATAGGATCTATTGCAGTGCTTAATTTCACCCTTAATGAGGCGTCATTTGTTCTTTTTCATAGCTTCGTGAAGACGATTTCCGCCACTTTCTACAGATACTTTGGGCAATGGGGTTCTTTCTGTTTCCTCAAAGCCACACACACAAACACAATCAAATTTCTTTGTTAACAGGTAAAAATTTTGATATTTTTTTACAGCAGAAGCTCAATAACTGAGATGGAGGATCTTAGTGCTAAAGATACTTCCTAGTTCTTTCTTGCACTTTTACA